TCAGCAGGAGTTAGAAGAGTGAGAGGACTAGAAGGGTGTTTGAGGCAAGTCAACAGCTCCTGAGAAGGCCCAAGTAGAGGAGATCTTGGCAAAACAGACTGGAATTGTCGATGAGTGATGTGGGGAGGGGAGCGGCTCGAGCATTAAACCAGGTAGAACAATTTGGTCTTTACATTGGGGAGGGTGAGTCTTTGAGCACGTCGGCATTTTAGAAAGATCACTCTGAGTACTGTGTGAAAAAGATGGATTGTCGAGAGGGCTTGAAGGGATTGGACCAGGGGGGTTTTAGGAATTTTTTCCACCTCAAACATTCCATGATTTGTTTAAGTAAATTATAGAGAACTTCTGTGAGTAATCACTAGGTCATTCACAATTGCCACAGATTTTAATAAGGGCTAACACTTACTATAGCCCTTCTGTAAATCAGCATCTATTTAAGCATTTTATATGAATCAATAAATTACAAACCCACAACAACACTATGATACATGTTTTATTATTTTTATCATTGTCCCACTTTACAGAGAAGGAAACTGAGACGCAGTGAGGGTCATCAGTAAGTGGCAAATCTAGATTTGTATCAGATTTCAGGGCCCAGGCTTTACCTTGGGATGCAAATATACTGACTATTCCACTTCCCATTATTCAGAAATCTTTAGTCCTACAGGAAGCATTTCCCAAATGAAATGAGAAGGGATCTTCCTTTGTGACTAGGAGTGACAAATCTATAATCTGTACCCAAATTTGGGATGCACTCCGATGGGAAAGCAGGAATAAAACCAAGCTGATTTCCTCAATGTCTGGGCTCAGAAATCAACTCTGTCTTTCATAAATAAAAAGGTTTCCAGGGGCTTCCCTGGTGGCGCAGTGGTTGAGAGTCTGCCTGCCACTGCAGGGGACATGGGTTTGTGCCCCGGTCCGGGAAGATCCCACATGCTGCGGAGTGGCTGGGCCTATGAGCCATGGCCGCTAAGCCTGTGCGTCCAGAGCCTGTGCTCCGCAATGGGAGAGGCCACAACAGAGAGGCCCGCGTACCCAAAAAAAAAAAAAAAAAAAAAAAAAAGGTTTCTAGCTTTCAGAAAATCTTTTCCCCAATTCCACCACCACCAAACTTAAATTGGTTAACCAAATACCTCCTCTTTTTGAGTAATAAAATTAGAGAAAGAAAAGTGTAAGGAGCAATATAAGACTATGAACATGACCTTTATAAATAATTAGAGGTGTTGTTTTTTCTTCAGCTAAGTGTAACTATTCCTGATTTTCAACTGAATTTAAAGTGACTTGCGTTAAATAAATGAATTAAATGCACAACAGATGGGAAGTAACTTTAGTATTCCAGGTTTGGTAGCTGAAAGTGTTGCAGTTCTTGTCTAAAATTCCTATTAGTAACAGTTTAAGAAAACCAGTATTTTTTTCCTCCCATGAGTATAAAAAATATTCTTTTAATACAGCCACTATGGAGAACAGCATGGAGGTTCCTTAAAAAACTAAAAATAGAACCACCATATGAACCAGCAATCCCACTACTGGGCATATACCCTGAGTAAACCATAATTCGAAAAGAGTCATGTACCACAATGTTCACTGCAGCATTATTTACAATAGCCAGGACATGGAACCAACTTAAGTGTCTATCGACAGATGAATGGATAAAGAAGATGTGGCACATATATACAATGGAATATTACTCAGCCATAAAAAGAAACGAAATTGAGTTATTTGTAGTGAGGTCGACAGACCTAGAGTCTGTCATACAGAGTGAAGTAAGTCAGAAAGAGAAAAACAAATACCATATGCTATCACATATATGTGGAATCTTAAAAAAAAAAAAAAGTTCTTTAAAACCTAGGGGCAGGACAGGAATAAAGACACAGATGTAGAGAATGGACTTGAGGACACGGGGAGGGGGAAGGGTAAGCTGGAATGAAGTGAGAGAGTGGCATAGACATATATACACTACCAAATGTAAAGTAAATAGCTAGTGGGAGGCAGCCGCATAACACAGGGAGATCAGCTCAGTGCTTTGTCACCACCTAGAGGAATGTTATAGGGAGGTTGGGAGGGAGATGCAAGAGGGAGGAGATATGGGGATATATGTATATGTATAGCTGATTCAGTTTGTTATACAGCAGAAACTAAGACACCATTGTAAAGCAATTATACTCCAATAAAGATGTTAAAAAAATATATTCTTTATTTGTGGACATTTGTTCGAGGATTCTTACATGAGGGAAAGGCACCTTTCAATTTCCACTCTGACAACCTGCCAGGCACAGGGGCTGTATTCCTTTCCCTTCAGGTAGAGATGGATTCCGCAGAAATACTCCCAGGCAGCAAGTCCCAAATGACAGCAATCCAGATTGTCTTTTTTCATCTGCTCCAGTCAGTGCAGCCTCAGATCAAAGCTAGAGGGAAGTTTATGGAGGAGGGTGTTGTTCCAGGCAGCACGGCTGTCCTCCGTGTTGAAGAGGTTGGAGATCTGCTAGAGCATCAGTTGGTAGAAAACCAGTAGTTTTTAAGCAGCCTGGCGGTTGAAGTGAACAAACTTTCCATTTTGTGATTTTCATGGAAGAAATGGTCGCTTCAAATTGGGAGTGATTAATATACTAAGATATCAATTCATAAAACCACCTATATTGTAACCTAGCAGCAATATTGGTAACATATTCAATAGTTTAAATTCTTACTTACATAACGGGTTCAGTTTGGGGAAATTTACCTAATTGGAATGCCTCTTAATTTATTAATTACTCTGGTAAAATGTTATTTGAGATCTGAAGGGTCTATTTTCCCTTTCCTTCTTGGCTTTTGGTATTGTCTCCCTCTCACTCTCTATTTTCCAGTAATTTTATCCCACCATAGGAAGGAAGGTGTTAGCAGTTTACACACACGGACACACACACACCACACCATATAGTGTTAGGATGCTTCATGCTTCTTTTCTGGTGTCCTAAAATCCTCTCCTATGTATTCTGTATTGCTATGGATCCAGTTATCTTTGTTGATTGAGTTTAGAAGTTGATTTTAATTTACCTCCTTTATTATAATCCTTAACAAATTGTTAGTGGGTGAGAGACTTCTTTAATAATTCATCCATTTATTTGTTTAAAAACATTCAATTAAGTGTCAGCTACTATGTGTCATAAAATGTATTTGGCCTTGAGGATACAGGAAGAAACAAGACCATTCTTGCCCTTAAAGACTTCCTGGTCTCGTGAGAGGGATGGGACAGTGCAATGGTGAAGATAAGCTTAGGATGCAAGCAGAAAAGAGAGAGAGTTGTGGTTCCACCTTCCTGTTCTCTACTAGTTTTCTATTGCTGCTATAATAAATTACTACAAACTCAGTGACTGACACAACATGAATTAATTTTCTTATAGTTCTGAAGTTCAGAAATCCAAAGTGAGTATCACTAAGCTAAAATCACATTGTTGGCAGAGCTGTATTTCTTCTGGAGGCTCCAGGGAAGGGTCTGTTTCCTTGTTTTTTTCCAGCTTCTAGAGGCTGCCCACATTCCTTGGCCTCTCATCTTCAAAGACAGCAATCACATCACTGTGGCATCTACTTCCGGCTTCACACCTCATCCTTTGCCTCTGCCTCTCCTGCTTCTCTCTTTCATTTATAAGAACCTTTGTTTTTCCATGAGGCCCACCCCAATAATCGAGGAAAATCTTCCCATTTCAAAACCCTTAATTCAATCACATCTGCAAAGTCTCTTTTACCATATAAGGCGATATGCGCACAGCTTTCAGGGATTTGTACATCGATACTTTGGGGGAAATATTATTCTGCCTACCACAGTTTCCAAGACACCTGTGCCTTCTCAATGTTTGCTTCTGAACCAAACTTGGTCTCCTTTTGGCACAAGCCACACCAGCCAGAAGGACCCATGTTGGAAGCCATGTGGCTGACAGGGTCTTGGTGCTCCGGCCAGGTGTCAAGCCTGAGCCTCTGAGGTGGGAGAGCCGAGTTCAGGACATTGGACCACCAGAGACCTCCCAGTCCCATGTAATATCAATCGGCGAGAGCTCTCCCTGAGATCTCTGTCTCAACACTAAAACCCAGCTCCACTCAATGACCAGCAAGCTCCAGTGCTGGACACCCCATGCCAAACAAATAGCAAAAGAGGAACACAATCCCACCCATTAGCAGAGAGGCTGCCTAAAATCATAATAAGTTCACAGACACCCCAAAACACACCACCGGACGCGGTCCTGCCCACCAGAAAGACAAGATCCAGCCTCATCCACCAGAACACAGGCACCAGTCCCCTCCACCAGGAAGCCTACACAAGCCACTGAACCAACCTCACCCACTGGGGGCAGACACCAAAAACAATGGGAACTACGAACCTGCAGCCTGTGAAAAGGAGACCCCAAACACAGTAATTTAAGCAAAATGAAAAGACAGAGAAACACACAGCAGATGAAGGAGCAAGATAAAAACCCACCAGACCAAACAAATGAAGAGGAAATAAGCAGTCTACCTGAAAAAGAATTCAGAATAATGATAGTAAAGATGATCCAAAATCTTGGAAATAGAATGGAGAAAATAGAAGAAACGTTTAACAAGGACCTAGAAAAAGTAAAGAGCAAACAAACAACGATGAACAACACAATAAATGAAATTAAAAATACTCTAGAAGGAATCAATAGCAGAATAACTGAGGCAGAAAAATGGATAAGTGACCTGGAAGATAAAATAGTGGAAATAACTACCACAGAGCAGAATAAAGAAAAAAGAATGAAAAGAATTGAGGACAGTCTCAGAGACCTCTGGGACAACATTAAATGCACCAACATTTGAGTTATAGGGGTCCCAGAAGAAGAAGAGAAAAAGAAAGGGACTGAGAAAATATTTGAGGAGATTATAGTGGAAAACTTCCCTAATATGGGTGGGATAGGGAGGGTGGGAGGGAGACGCAAGAGGGAGGGGATATGGGGATATATGTATACGTATAGCTGATTCACTTTGTTATACAGCAGAAACTAACACGACAATGTAAAGCAGTTATACTCCAATAAATATGTTAAAAAAAAAATGACTGCAGCACTAGATGACACTTTAACTGAAGCCTTGTGAGAGACCCTGACTGAGTCAGAGAACCCAGCTAAGTTGTGCGCAAACTCCTGATCCACAGGAAATATTGTTTAATAAATGTTGTTTAGACCACTAAATTTGGGAGTAATTTGCTATAGAGTGATAGGTAACTAATTCAGTGTCCAAAAAGTATTCATTGAATAAAGTAATAAACATTTGTTGAGTTGAATAATGCAAAAAGGGTGGAAGTATGGGAAATATTAGGGAATAATTCTTCCATAGAGAAGGTGATAACTAAGCTGAGGTTCGAAGGATGAACAAGAGGGAATGGAGTACATCCAACAGGGGGACTGGCATGTAAACGGCAGAGAGAATTTAAGGAGAGTTGAGTTAGGAAACTTACTAGTAGATCCTTAAGAATGGAGGGCAGGATGTCTGTGGAAAGGAGCTGGAGATAAAGGTGAAAGTTTTAGTAAGATGAACACTCCGAGGCTTTGCAGTACATCATGCAAAGATGTGATCTTTGCTCTCTAGGCCATGGGGAGCCAGGGAAGGCTTTCCAGTAGGGAAGATGCTTCCGATAGTAGCTATGGAGGGAGATGGATTTGCGGGGTAGTGGTGGGGATGAGTGGAGGGAGGCCAGCTGGAAGACTAATGCAGGAGTCCAGATAGAGGGTGAAGATGCTCCAGAGTGAGGCTGGAGTCGTAGTGGGGAAATGAGAGGATAATTGATTCAAGACCTTTCAGGGTAATGCGACCCCACCTAGGAGTGAGGTAGAAGATAGGATCTAAGGTGACTTGTAGGCCCCGATGGGGTACATACCTTCACTGAGAGAGGGTCTGAGCTGGAGACGTAAATTAAGACATTATCGGTGCAGAGGTGGTAGATGGAGGATGAACATTTAACGAGCACATACCATGTGGCAGATCTGAGATTCTCTCATTACTTATGCTTTCACATTTATTTCTTACAAGTACTTGGTGAGTTATGCATGATTAGCTCCATTTTACGGAGGACAAGGAAACCGAGGGTCAGAGAGGTCAAGACCACGTAGCTAATAAGTGAAAGAATCAGTGTTCCAACCCACGTGACTGTCTCAGAGTTCCAGATAATTTCCATTTTCCATGGTGCTCTGGAAGACTGACAAAGCGACAGGACCAAGAAGAGAGTCTGGGGAAAGAATGATATTGAAGAGGTGCGTGAAGAAGAGGAGCCTGTGAAGCGAACCACAGATATAGGTGGTCTGAGATGGGGAAGAAGACTAGAAGTGGCGGTGTCATGGCGGCAGTGGTAAGAGAGACATTCAAGATGAGGACACTGTCCCCAGGATTATTGCAGCACTGAGCTGAACGACAGGAAAGTGGTCACTAGTGGTCTTAAAAGGACAATCTCAGTAGCTTGATGCCAGGTTGCTAGTGCCTGAGGCAAGACTTAGATAAACCAGCAGGGGCAATCAACGCAGATAATTCCTTCTCTGAGGCTGGCTGTGAAGGGTAGGAGAAAGATTGAGAGATACAGAAATAGGTAGAGGCTGCTCAGGCTTCAGGTAAGATTTTGCTTGTTTATAGGATCAGTTTAGACATCGGGAGTGGATCAGATTCTGTGCTGAGAAAGACCCAGTGGTTAGGGAGAGGATTGGCAGTTACAGGAGCGGGATGTTGTTGATGGAATCAAGTTTGTCAGCTGACACGAGAAATCTCAGTCTGGAGACAGATGACAGCCTCCACCTTGGTCTCCAAATTTAGTCTCCCCTCTGTGTGACCAGGAATGATTCTTCCTCTGTTGTCTTGAAGGTGACATTCATCGTTCCATTATTCTTTTCTTTTTTTTTTTAACATCTTTATTGGAGTATAATTGCTTTACAATGGTGTGTTAGTTTCTGCTTTATAACAAAGTGAATCAGCTATACATATATATATGTCCCTGTATCTCTTCCCTCTTGCGTCTCCCTCCCTCCCACCCTCCCTATCCCACCCCTCTAGGTGGTCACAAAGCACTGAGCTGATCTCCCCGTGCTATGCGGCTGCTTCCCACTAGCCCATTATTCTTTATGTCGGTTCTTGAAAACTCTTTGAGATCTTTAAGAACTAATTCAAAACTCTGCTTCTGAGGGGCAGCCCCAGACAAAAAGAAGTTCTAACATGATTTCTGGTTCTACCATACATATTCTGTGTGACCCTTGTTTCTTAGTTTTCCTTCTTATCTCCTTAGATCCCTGAGATATTGTAAAGATTCAAGAGATCACTGTGTTCCTCTTATATCTGCCTAGTACTCAGCACAGTTTTGTGCACACAGTGAGTATGTAATAAACACGTTGATTTGTATCTGCTTAATCCTCAGAAAATCAGGTGTATATAAACCTCTTGGAGGACCTCCAACTTTCTTACACAGGTGGAAAATATCTCAGTATTTACTCCCTGCAATCCATAGGCTAGAGGTGAGGTCATAGGATAATACCTAAGCAGCCTTTGTTATAGTTCTTATTAGATAAAATTGTTATAACAACATCTAAATAGACTGTGATCTAGAGGTAAACCAGAAACTGCTGGCTCCCTCTCCTTCAGACCATGGAGATGTCCTTTCTGCAGCATGTAGGGACAGAGTAATTGTGAATTCTATATGTATCAGTAAGTTGTTTGCAAGCAGCCATTACCAAAATGAATGAATTAAATAATAGCATTACGATGGCTAGTTGATAGAGAAATTTGACCCAGCAACAAATCCGTTAACATGTTTCTGCTTGTTTCTAATTTTAGAATTCTATCAGATTAAGGCAAAACTGAGTCAAATTATCGTTCAATTCCACATAAACTGAAGTCAAGAGGCTGTTCTTTTTCATTTCTATCTGGAAACTTATTTCATCCAGTGTTTAAATTAAATGCAATATTATTATATTGGCGTATGGTTGGTACGTGCAGGACGATTAAGCTAGCTTGCGGATGCAGAACAAACCCACAACTAGAAGAAAGGAAAACATATTCAGTTCTCTGGCCAGGCATGTTTCAGTATCATGGTTGATATTTTTTAGTCTTTGTAAGGTTGCTTTGATATTGTGTAGTCACTCTCTTCAAATCACATCTCTACATCTAGATGAAATTCTGACCCACCTCAGTATCCCTTAGTCTTCAGCAGCAGGGAACGTGAAAATCACAGCATGAAGAGGTCAGAATGTTTCCACTGCACCCAGACTCAGGATCGAGTTGAATAGCAGTAACATCCCTACTGCACTGGATAAAAAGATACACGATGGCTTCATCACTAATATTGTATTCTGCTTGTGTCACTCAGTAGACAAGCTGGTGGTCAAGCTCTATTTTGAGCCCAAGGGTAAGAGAATCAGGAGTGAGGGACTGCCTTTTTGAAGTCTTGAAGCACCTCCCCATCTTTGTCATGAATTTTCATCACTGGAGTGTTTGGAGACCATGTGCCCGAGGGGGCTGTCCATCAGCAGAGACGTAAAGCAGTGTTCTTCGCTGCATGTGATCAATAAATATCCCTTGGCCCTTCTGTGAATAGCAGAGCTGGTGACCTCAGTGTCACAGAAAATTTCTAATTTGGATAATTACATTCTGCTTCTCTCTGTTGCTCCTGTAGCTTAAATAGAAAATGGAATTCTTCATTTTAATTCGTCAACTGCTGCTTAACTTACACTGCTGTGAGGTGTCACTGTGAGCTGTTAAACATCTGCTGCACCCTACTTTGGAGGTGGTTGCATTTTAATTG